TTCAATCACTAGGCTACCATACCAGGCCCTCTCTCTGTTTTCAACACTGGATATTCCTTTCCTTTTTTTTTTTAACCTTTACTGAACAGTATTTTGGAAATATCAACTGTTTCATCAATGGGTTAGCATGAACTGAAGACAAGAGTCTGTGTGTTAGCCCCAAGAACTGGCAGCGCTAAGCACTCTCCATCTCAGACTCCATCAGCAAGCAGACATTGTTCATTTTCTTCTGAGATGTGTGTTTATTTCTTCCGTGATGGAAATCTCCCTGAGGCAAGGATTTAGGTAACAGCTTATTCCTCCGTTACTATGTATGTTATCTGATGATGCCCATTATTGGGGTGATTGGGATGTGTAAACTTAGGACCCATGGTTCTGATTGATGCCAATTCACTAAGTATACGCAGGGATCTGCCTGCATTCCTAAAGCAGAAGCAGCAGCCAAGGAAGGAGATGCTCAATGGGACAGAGGGGTCCGGAGGGATGGGATCCAGGAACATTAGAAGAACATGATTTTTGCTCAAGGAACAAATGATTTTGTTAAGGAAACAGGGAGCAAAATCGTGTAAGGGATAACTCTATAGGTGTTATGGAGGAAGCTGGTCATAAATCAGGGGGCTAATGCTGCATAAAACACAAAGAAGTAAAGGTCTTAGATTGGGACAAACAAATAGGTTCTTGGAGGAAAGTGGCTGAAAATAGTTTCCTTATACAACAAACCCACATTTATTAATGCGACAAGAACACTAGCAAATAATGTGTGCAGTGATGGGAATTATTAGCAAGGAAACTGCAGAATCAGCAGAAGAGTATAATGCTTTCCTTTTCAAAAAGCTCTGAATCTCTCTAACCACAGGACTGCAACCACCTCCTTTCAAAACAAAGGCGTGTAGCCACATAAGCTGATCATCTGTGGCTTTCTCAGCTGCTTCCTGCCACTACTCATCTCCTGCTTCACCTCTCCTTCTCTTCTGCCTTCACATCAGCTAAGCGTGTTCAGAGGAGGCTCGACAATGTTGGAGAAGAAAACACCAGATGTTTAGATGTGTTTGGTTTAGTGTTCTTACCTTACAGAACTGGGCCCGGTACAATACCCTGATGGCTAAATCCTTGCCTTGCATCTGCCAGGATCCCATATGGGTGCTGGTTCATATCTGGCTGCTCTGCTTCCCATCCAGCTCCCTGCTTATGGTCTGTGGAAGCAATAGAGGATGGCACAAAACCTTGGGGCTTGCACCCACATGGAGACCTGGAGGAAGCTCCTAGTCCTGGCTTCGAATCAACTTAGCTCTGGCAGTTGCATCCACTTGAGGACTGAAGCAGCAGACAGAAGACCTTTCTGTCCTACCTTCTCTTTGTATATCTGCCTTTCAAAAAATATATATATTTTTAAGAACAGAACTGTGTTATTTGTAAAAACATAAGGATTCAGTGACAATGATGCCTTATGTTTCTACCATTTTTGCTTCTCAAATGTTCTCATTTTTTTTAATCTATGCCAACATCCTTATTATGACCCTATAGATAAGGAGGATGTAAAACTGTCATTAGCTTTCCTCTCTTGTACTAAGAACTAACCTGAAACCCTAAGAGACCATTTTGTTCATCCTGACATGTAACATATAGTCCCTGCACAACTGGAACGACCCTGCTGCAGGGACCCTGCTGCATCTGGATGAGTCTTCCCGGACCTTGACCCCCGCGCCTGCCTCTTTCCACCCCCTATGTGATTGTTCCACAAGAAAGAGCTTTGGCCGTGATGTGAGATGACTAATGGCAAATGTTATGCACAGATAAATTTGTCAACTCAGTCACACTTGTAAGTTCCCATACACCTTTGCAATTTTGTGCCGTTGCTGCAGGCAGTTTGTATTCTGCAATAAATCATTATTGCTCTGCTTCCCCAAATGTTAATAATGGATAATTATTTATGCTTCTTAATCTATCCAAAAGAGGAGAGGGATTGGAAAAGTGAGGGGTGAGTGGGAAGAATGGCTGTGGGTTTTATTTATGGCCTTGGCAAATCATTTTTGTTGTACTTCTCTTCAGTGTGTAACATATTCATTGGACCACAGACACAGCTTTTCATCCTAATGAAATGAAATGCCAGGGCTTCTTTCCAAACCAAAAGCATTGCCATCGAAATTCTATTGTCTGCTCAGGTTTTCTTCGCCTCATTCGATTCTCTCTTAGGTCTTCCATCCAACCTAAAGAAGTTGTTAGGAGAGTTTGTGTGTGTTCTTGGTGCCTTAACACAGGGAATTTGGGGCTGTTTTCCGGAGAAGAGTGCTTTGGGGTGACTGTCCTCCAGGTTGAACCCTTCTTCTTGTGCTGCCTTTCCCTCCCCGAGCACAGTGGAATGGCAAGCATGCTGCTTCCACAGTCCTCAACATTGAGAGCTTCCGCCTTGCCTCAAGTGACACTGCATTGTTAATAGCTAGTTAATAGCTACCATCCCAATATTTCTAATATCCACCAGAAAATTGTGTCAAAGGAAAATCAATGTGTCACCTGCAAGCAAAATTCACACTGCTTACCCTCTCTTGGTTAACAAGAGGATATTATTATAAAATTCTAGTGAGTTCTTGACAATAAATGTACGAATGCAAGGTCGCAGTGCCCACGATACACTTTCATACTTTCTGCGATGACCAGTGCGAAACAGGCTTTAAATCAACTCCCAGATAATGGCCAGGAAGCACTTGTTCCAGGGATCCTGGAAGTATTGGTTTCTGAAATTGCCAGTGTAAATCACCAAGATTCTTAACAGCTTCATTGTGAGACATGCGTAACCTCAGTTCCACATAATGGTTCTCTTTAATTTCAATGCAATAACTGGCAATGATAGGAAGCTTAGAATATGGTTATCAGAAGAAACATCACTAAAGAACACACGGCTGCAGCTGAAAGTCAGGACCTATTTCCATCCACATGAATATTAGGGCATGTGTGTGCATGCGTATTTGTTTGTGTGCACCTTTACTTGATTAGTTGTCAATCTTTGTGTTAAAAATAGAAAAGTCAAGCCCACAGTTCAAGAGCTCCTGTTCTCTCCGCAAATGCTTCAAGGGGTTGCTGATAGGTTAAACATAGTAACCTTTGCAGCCACTGATTCTTCACAGTTCCTTTCAAAATGTCTTTCCTTGACATTCTAAAAACACAATAAATTTTAAAGGCAGCATCGCCAGTTGAATTTGATTAAGGAGCATGCCAAAGGTGTAAGACACCAAAGCCTTCCAGAGGCATCTTCCAGAAAGCAAAAACAGTGACATGTTTACAATCGGAAGAATAAACCCAAGTGCAGCTTGTCGCTCTGCCAGACTAAATAAGTGCCCTGTGAGTGTGTCACCCACAGCAATGAGACGCTGAAGCACTGATGAGTAATGAATGATTTAATGATACAAAGAGTGATGCAGATATGGACAACCAATGTGACCGTGGGCAAAGCAGACGAAGTGACAGCAATGGGTGCTCACCTGTCCCAGCCCAGCCTCACCTAAAGGACATCTATGGGAAAGTCTGCTTTTCCAAGCACTTAAAAAGCCTCTATTTTTAAAACCGGCTTGAAACCTCTCTCCCGCTACGTGTGAGTCATCGTCGGCAGGAAGGGCTCTGATTTTTGCAGCCTCCTCTCTTAGCTCACTTAGTTTCAATTCTGTTTCATCTACAACTTATCAAGTGGTGACTTGCTGAGACAGAGCCTGGTGAAAGCCAGATTAGAGAAAAGCCTCCCCTTTCTGTCCTTCCAGGGTTGCCTTCCTACATACGCTGTGTGACGGTCACTCTCAAACAGACTTAGCACCAGGTTCTTGCTCACACACTCTGTTTTGCTATCTCCTCCAATTAAATGACTCTATGGGAAGGTGTCTTTGTTTAGCTCATGATTTTCTGGCATTTGCACCTAAAGAGGAAAAGATTTGAGTTAAAGATGATTTGATGATTTGTTTTTTAAGAACTTTACATTGCACTGCTTTTTTTTGCCCTTGCTTCGATGTGCCTCTTCTGACTTCAGAACTGCCAGTGCTTCCCTGGATTCTGTTCCTGCGAAATACCTTATCCAGTCTCAGTTCCTTAACATGTGGGATTTGGGGTTTCTGTTTGAGATACTCAAAGCCTGAGAAGATGAAATGTAACGTGATTGACGGTGTGTGAGAATGTATGCTGAAAGTGCCTGGGAAACTTGGAAGGGTGCAAAGAAGTGAAGAAGCAGTGACTCTCTTTGTTCCCTCTGTGGCTCCCGGGCTAGACTATTTTGTGCATCAGGAAGCCTGCTTTGCCAGGCCCAGTGTTGCTTGCTCTAGCTTAAGACTTTCAGTCACCTGTCCTCTCTTCATGGATGTGCTTGCTTCGGTGCCAATCCCATCCCTGCCCTCTGACTTCCTTCAGTCCTGCCAGCCTGCCCCATCTTTCCCTTCACTGAATTCTGATTCACTTGCCCTTTGGAATTCCCTTATTCATGGTTGAAATCACCTCATTCTTAGATGGTATAGTTAGTTTTGCAAGGTGAAAAGTTATGGAGATGGTTGGGCTAATGACTGTATAAAGTTATGATTGTATCTGCACAACATTAAAACCATATACGCACAAATAGTTTAAGATGGTACATTTTCTGTCTATTTTACAATAAGAAAATTTTAAATAATTTAAAGCAATCAGAAAGTGTGCTCCTTAAAAGAACACTTATTGCTTCTGTTAACCAGTGCTTCATATGCTGCAGGTGTGGGGGGGAAATGGGTTGTACGTAAATAAGTAAATAAATAAATACCTACCATATTTCCAAAATGATTTAATGTGTGCAGAAGGAATGTCAAATATTCTGAACTGAGTAAAGGGCAGAACTCGTGTTAGTTTCCCCTTCCCAACATTTTATTATGCTAAAAGGTAACTGCTTATCTAGGAATAAAACAGGATTGTGCAAGATACAGAATTAAATGCCAGTCTTCCTCCAGATCGCTTCGTAAACTTGAGTCCTCTGTGCCTCTTGGTTCCCTGCCATGTAGATGCCCAGCCCACAGAGGGAGAGAGAGAAATATGGAACCAGATCAGCGCTGTCCTCCAGGATTCCGAGAGCATCCTCGCAGACCTGCAGGCCTACAAAGGGGCAGGGCCCGAGATCCGAGATGTACGTAAACCAATGACAACGACAGCCTGACAACACTGGGAGAATAACAAAGCCACATACACAATCACATAATCACACGCACACACACACAAACACAATCACATAAATACACTCACAAAAGAGAGAGAATTCTAAGAACAAGGAGGGTAGTATGTCTAAAAAAAATGTATGAATGACCATTTTTATTCCAGCACATGGTTCTACAGACCACTTAAGTGTTAGCCTTCCTCATCTCAGGTACACAGTTAACATAGCAGAGCTCACATCTAAACGATAATTTCAGTAGATGACTTCATTTGAGGAAGCATGCATAGGGTGACTGTAAAGAGGAGTTAAGTAAAGAGTTGTGAGATCGGGTATAGCAAGTACTTGAGAAACTTTGGGAGTGGTCCTGGTGGGTCACTCACAGCGGGTCTGTCATTCCATGTGTCTTAGGAAACTTTTTTAACATGAAAAATGAAACAAGCAAAGCAGAAAAGAAGACAGTAAGTTCGATATTGTGACTTTAGAATGCCTTAAAGGCAAGAATTTTACAGTCCTTTTATTTGAAAGTATCAGTTTTCTGGAACTATCAATATACACGCAGAGTACTGTCACCACCCTTTTGTCTTTCGGAGACGAACTTCTGTTGTACTGCTCCATCTTCTGAAACCTGGACAAGATAGCATTTCTAAGAGTTCATCAGTTGGCTAAGAGGTGCTTTTTCTGCTTAGAGGCCACTATTTAATTTAGGCAACCTAAATTCAATACACACTCACAAGATTGCAAGACATTTTAGAGAGAAAGGAAAGTACCTACAGAGTCCACAAAGTGGGTCAAGGATCATGGGCTTTAGAAGAATCAAATAGCGGTAGTGATGGCTAAACTGGCTTTACTTTCTATTTGCTCTTTTTCATGTTCAAGATCATAGAAACAAGTTAGATGCCACAGAACGAAATTGTGGACCCAATTGATTTATGTTCGAGGACTAACATTTCCACTCAAGAGTAGTATCTTGGAGGCAGTCAAACAAGCAATGTCAAAATGACCAGTACATATTATCAAGGATTATATTTTTTAGTTAAAATATTTTCTTGCTCTTGAAGCATTTTGATGTGGAGCTTGTTACTTCTTATTAAGCAGTCATTCCTATCGTGTTTTTGTAGGCAATTCAAAATCCCAATGACATTCAGCTTCAGGAGAAGGCTTGGAATGCAGTGTGTCCTCTGGTTGTGAGGCTAAAGAGATTCTATGAGTTTTCCATAAGACTAGGTGAGTATGCATTTTTAGTTTGCATGTCCTACGTATAAATTTCTGTGTTGACCTTTGAGAAGTAGCCAAAAGAGCTCAGCATTTTGGAAAATGTCCCGTATCCATCAACTGTGTCAAATAAGAGGCAATTTAAGCTAGACATTGATTATTGTATTTGTATTTCTTTCAGTCCATTATGGAGTTCATTCTATAGAAGTTATTTGCACATTCTGAATGTCTCTAATGTAGAGTGTCCCTTTGGACTTCTCATCTGTGCCCAACAGAATACTTTTACTGAAAGCTGATCACCTAAGTAACTTAGAAGATACAAGTGACCAGCTAACCCCAAAAGAACTCAGTTGCTTACAGTCAGGTGGTAAGTTTAATGTCATAAGAGACAATAAAAATGAGCATAGTGCTTTGGAAGTCTGGTTGACAAGGGTTTCAGTGTCATGATGATAGCCATTATCCCCTGTGGTGAAGCTGTATTAGCCTACATTGGTTAGTAGAGTGTATCTAGAATGATGCTGATCATGGTCATGCCACCTGCCATAAAAGTGAGTGCACATTTTAAGAGAAAAAACAGAGAATTTTAAATACTTTGGAAGAATGGTGATCATGTTATTGAGAGGACTAGAATCTAAGACACTAGAGAGTGGTTTAATGAATCAAACTCATTTCACAAATAAAGAGAGATTCAGGTGAAAGGGAAGTCAGCTTCTCTCTCCGCCAGCTGGAAGTTTAGACCCAATGAACTGACATTTGAAGTTGCAGTGCAGGTTAGGCAGAGATCTGTCAGTCAGATGAGACCAAGGTAGAGCTGCTGCTGCAGAAGGCAATATGTTCCAGTAGCTGGAAATGTTTCATCAAGCTAAAGACATTGCTTGTAAAAATACTGTAAAAGGCAAACCTTTCTGTAAAGTACCAAAGAGTGTATATTTTTGTCTCATGGACTATCCTGTCAGTTTTTGCAACTATCCATAGCCTCTGTCATAGAACCTAGGAGGACCCTTTCAAAGCATAAACAAATGGAAAAAAAATAGTCTATGTCCTAATAAAATTTGAAGTGCAAAAATGAGCAAAGAGCCAGATTTAGGCCTGTAGCCCTAGTCTGCCAAGCCCTGCTAAAGAGAATAGGGGAACTGGCTAAGCTTGGAGAGGAACCTGACCACAGGGGCCTCGGCATTGGATGCAGCAGCTTGGGCCCCTGAGAGTCATCATAGACAAGGAAGAGCCTGGAAGCTTCTCCCTGAGACTGGGAGCAGGAGTCGAGAACCGGGCTCATCTTGACCATCTATATTTCTGTTTTTCACTTGCAGAAAAGGCTCTTCAGAGTTTACTGGAATCTCTGACTTGCCCACCCTACACACCAACCCAGCACCTGGAACGGGAGCAGGCCCTCGCGAAGGAGTTCGCAGAGATACTGCACTTCACCCTTCGATTTGATGAGCTCAAGGTTAGGCCAGCTTTACTGTGAAAAAGGAACAAAACGTGCTGAGTTTATAGCTGCTGTGCTAGTGCAGTGGGTGGGGGATAGAAAGATGACTCAGATGCAGCTCCCTCCCCAGACAGACAAATGCTGTGGTGAGAACTTGCATTCCATGTGGTCAAAGCCATTTGAGAGGATGATTTGTGTACGGAAACTCAGCTTCTGCAAAGGAAATCAGAGAAAGCTTTTCCAAGTGTCTACTGCCCCATGGGAACAAACAGACTTTCCCTGAAGTCCAGCCCACAGGAAAAAGTGGGGCCTCTTTTTGAATAATAAAGCTCTGGTTGTTGTTTGAACTGAAAGTTTCTTTGACCATTGCATGGCAGTGAGGTGTGCTGGCGTAGCTGAAGAGTTGCCTGTCTGGGCTCCCAGTGCAAACCCTCCTTGGAGGCTGCAAGGTGATGACCTTTCGTTTTGCATTCCAGATGAGGAACCCGGCCATTCAGAATGACTTCAGCTACTACCGAAGAACCATCAGTCGCAACCGTATCAACAACATGCACGTGAGTCCTGAGTCCCCTGCCCCCGTCCCAGGCTCTTCGGTTTTCTGCATCAGGCAGGACCCTGAGAGAAGATGGGGAATCTGGTCTGTAATACAAGTTCCAAAGGAGAGTATTTTGAGACGTTTGACTTCCTCTTTATGAATACCTCCTCATCTTCTTTCCATCAGCTAGACATTGAGAATGAGGTCAACAACGAGATGGCCAACCGAATGTCCCTCTTCTACGCAGAAGCCACACCAATGCTGAAAACCCTTAGCAACGCCACAATGCACTTTGTCTCTGAAGTGAGTTGAATTGAGCAACATGGGGCTTGTTATTCTTTAAAAAGAAAGAACATATATTTCACCTTCCATCTGCTGGTACTCTTCCCAAATGACCACAGTGGCCCCAGCTGAGCTGATTTGAAACGAGCCACAATCCAAAGGGTTCTTCAAGGCCTCCCATATGGCTGCAGGGGCACAAGGACCTGAGCCATCCTCTGTTGCTTCCTAGACCAGAATCAGGGAGCTGGATTGGAAATGGGGCAATCAGGACACAAACCAGCACCCATGTGGAATGATTGCAACACAGAATGGAAGAATAGCCTGATATGCCACCATACCACCCCTAACTGGAACTTGTTATTAAGGCACATGAAAGCTGCTAGCAGGGCTGACCTCCATTTGTGTCTCCTCTTTAGAACAAGACCTTGCCAATAGAGAACACCACAGACTGCCTCAGTACGATGACAAGTGTGTGCAAAGTCATGCTGGAAACACCGTAAGTTAAATCTGTCACGTTCATGACTGTGCATCGTCTCAGGGTGTTGATATGATGATGATGATGATGATGATGACATGTACCACTGGGATAAGCACTTTAGCATTTACGTGTTTATCATTTACACAAAGTCAGATGGTAGGTGCCAGTATCCCCAACTTGTAGCTAAGAAAAAAAAAAAGAAAGAAAGAAACTGCTGAAGCCAAAATCAGTTCACTGACTTCGCCAAACTCTGCACAGATTGTTAGAACTAAGACTCAGATCCACAGTGCTATAAATACATTGAAGGATTAAATGGACAGGTTGTGTCAAATGACGGAGTGTTATTGTAAATTTACTGTAGGGACTAAGAGTAGGCATTCTAAGGAAGAAAAATGCAAGAGTGAAAAGGAAAAGCTCATTCCGTCAATCCCTGTCTCTGTCACTTTTTCTTTCTTTATAGTTAAATTGATTACTAGTTGCTAGGTCTACCAAATGGCTCAGTTGTCCAAGGGCAAAATGGTGTGAATATGAGAAACCCACACTCGGATGTTTGAGATCTACTATGGCTATAGCCCTTCCAGTGCCTTTAAGCCAATGCCCTGACCTTCTTGGGCTTGAACCAATGAAACCCCCATGATGTCTTCTACTTCAAAGTATTTGAAAGTACTCAAGGTATCAAGATGACATTAATTTTAAATATTTAATTTACACCAATGTTGGGATTCATTCCAAGACACAAATATTGATTGTATTCGTTATGGGGCTGGTTCATGATGAAATGACAGCTAAGAAAGCCTGTCAAGTTGGCCTAAATTATCTGAATCATCAATGATCTTGTTGAGGCAAGTAAACAAATTCAAAGTCCACAGACATGCTCAGTGCAGTGAATGGGACATAATTTCTTTCAGGTATCTTTGCCAGTCCAATTCAATCTGCAGCCTGTATCTTAACAAAGGGAGTTACTCTGAATACAGACATGATAGCTGCTGGGTAGAAATGAGCCTGGTTCTTTTTTCTCTGTAATGAAGTCATTATTCTCTATAATCTTGGACAGCCAGAAGGACCTGCTATAAAATATTCAAGATTGATAGGCAGGGAAGTGATGTACATGATGAGCTGGCCCTACCAAAAGACAGGGAGAAGAGAATTTACTGCCCTAGAATTTACTTTATTTTTGCACTGAATTGCTGGTTGGATAAATTCAAGGAAAAGTATCATCATGAGTTGCTTCAAGAGCCTATTAACCTGATTGTTGCAGAGATTGTTCTCAAGGGTGGGTTAGAGAAGGTACCAGTGTGGAGTCAAAACTGCCCATTCTGACAGAGGCAGCGATGCCGCTGCTGTTTGCTGTGTCTTGCAGGGAGTACCGGAGTAGGTTTACAAGTGAAGAAACGCTGATGTTCTGCATGAGGGTCATGGTGGGGGTCATCATCCTGTACGACCATGTGCACCCTGTCGGAGCCTTCTGCAAGACGTCTAAGATCGATGTAAGATACCACTATGAATTGTATTGAACAAATTAAGAAAAGTGAAACAGACCTGGCTTCTTTCCTCTGGCCTCCAGTCTCCACAGGAGGGTGTTCTCTTCAAGACACAGGTGCCACCAGGATAGCTGTCCATCCAGCCATAAGTTTAGTATTTTCCATGAGTTAACCACGGAATGGCAGACAGGACAGTCTGGGCTGCTGCTGCCCTCTGCCAGTGGTGCAGCTGAACTTCAAACTGTCCCTCCTTTGCCCAATGTGCCAATAAGTTTCTGTTTTGTATGTGTTGTAACACGCAAAGAGTTGTGAGAGAATGGATTGCAAATTAAAAGAACCTTCAGCTTCCTCTCCAGCCTCCTTACCTATTGCTCTACCCAATTTCCAAGCCTCTTCTTGTCATTTGAATATGCAAAGACTCCTTTCCCTGCCAGAATACCCTTCTCCCCACTCTCAGATGATTGAGTTCCCATGACACACTCTTCAGCCTCAGTTATCCATAAATAGGTTTCCTATGTACCCAGAGACACCCCTGGAGCCCAGAGAACTCTCCATTTTGCATTTTATGAAAACAACAACACCAAAAATACTGGGCCCAGCATGGTAGCATAGTGGCTAAGGTCCTCAACTTCATGTGCCGGGATTCTATACTGCCACCGATTCATGTCCCAGCAGTGACCCCGCTTCCCATCCAACTTCCCACTTACAGCCTGGGAAAGCAGTCAAGGACAGCCCAAAGCCTTGGGACCCTGCACCAGTGTGGGAGACCCGGAAGAATCTCCAGGCTCCTGGCTTCAAATTAGCCCAGCTCTGGCCATTGCAGCCACTTGGGGAGTAAATCAGTGGATGGAAGATATTCTTCTCTGTCTCTTCTCCTCTCTGGTTATCTGGCTTTCCAATAAAAATAAATAATAAATTACTAATTTTGTATTGAAGTGACTCAGAGAGACAGAAAGAAAGAAACTGCATCCGCTAGTCAATTCTGCAAACTCTTGGAGCAGTCAGGACTGGGCTGGGGCTGACGCTGGAAGCCAGGAACCCAATGCAGGTGACGGGAACCCAGTGAGTAAGCCACTGTCCCTGCCTCCCCAGCTCTATATCAGTGGGAAGCTGAAGTAAGGAGCCAGATCCCGGTTACCAAACCTTCACGTGGCATGTGGATGCGCTGCCCAGGGTTTTTGTCATCAGGCTGAATGCTCCTCCACTCCTGTTTTGTGTTTTGTGTCTACCCCGCAGAATGAATTCTTTAAAGGGAATAGAGACTCTGATTTATTCACTGATTTTGTTTTCTTGCCTGGTAGACTAACTGGTACAAAGTGCCTGGCCCTAAATATGTGCTCTGCAGAGTTCTTGAAGCCACAGTTTGGGAAAGAAGGAAGGAAGGAAGGAAGGAAGGAAGGAAGGAAGGAAGGAAGGAAGGAAGGAAGGAAGGAAGGAAGGAAGGAAGGAAGGAAGGAAGGAAGGAAGGAAGGAAGGAAGGAAGGAAAAGAAAGAAAGAAAGGGCAGTAAGCATTGCAGGCCAAACAGCTGCAGAATTGAGGAATTCTGGGCAGAAGGATGATACCAAATCATCAGGTTTGTGGTGCATCCAGTAAATCCCACCTGAGCCTAAGTAGAGGGAACTTTCTGCACCTGGTTCTGAAGTACAAGACAAGAAGATCAAAGTCTCAAGTCCTTATTCCCAAGTGCCAAATAAAATGCACAGTGTATCGTGTGATAATCAAGAATAGCTGTGGTCATACAGAATTCTCTGGAAGCCCAAAAGAGTAGGAAAGCACCACTTGCTTCTATGTTTGATTTTTCTGGACAAGAACAATACGATATTGGTAGGAACAGTTGCTGTTGCAGATAGACATTATTATGGGCCAAACTACCTGGATGTCAACACAGCGTTGTGCTTTCTTCTCCCAGATGAAAGGCTGCATCAAGGTTTTGAAGGAGCAGGCCCCAGACAGCGTGGAGGGGCTCCTGAATGCCCTCAGGTGAGCCCAACTCTGTGGTAAGCTGACATGGGCCAGCCAGCCCTTCAGACTGATGGCCAGTATACCTACTGTTGTCTTCAATATTTTAATATGTTTTGTCTCCCCAACAAGCCTTTGAGGTCAGCTTCATCTTTATCATCCCCTTTATACAAATGAAAGAAAATGAGATCCAGAGACGTAAAAAGGTATAAACAGCTAACTTAAAATCCAACTTTGCCGCTGTGGGACCCCTACAGACCATGGACCTCCTGACTCTTGGTTAAGTCCTTTGAAGTAGCATGGACATCTCAGGAGAAGAAGGTTTTGGGACTCACCTCTCTTATTGGTCAATACTCCCCAAGTCTTCCTGAACCTGGAAATGGTGGGGTAGCTTCAGAAAACATTGAGGATCAGTCTTGGAGCCAGGCCAAGTGAGAAAGAATCTAGGCACATTGTGTGTGTGTATGGTCTTATTTATATTTTTGTATGCAAGCATGGTTCACATGCAGCTTCCAGAATCAAAAACCCTGCTGTACATTGTGTAAATTCTAACCGGATTATTCCAGCTCCTTGGTCAAAGGAGTAATGCCCTAGTACCTGACCTCTGTCTTTTCCCAAGGAAGCGTATGTCCAACCTCGTCTGAGAATGGATTTCTTTATGCTTTGTCACATCTTGAAAATTTGTTGAGTCATACCCACTCTGTAAATAATCGGGAGAGCTCATGGTCCCCACCATCTTATTCCTCTTCCATTTCTGTCTATTCCACCTATGTTGTGCATGCAGTGAATGCTCAATAAGTGTAAGTGGGTGCAAAACCTATCTATAGGCAACATGCGTCTCACACAATTATATTGTCTCCATTAACCATTCCAGCTCAGAGATGTAAGGCTGAGCTATAATCCCCACTTAACACATGAAGTAACCAAGACACTGAACTTTAGACTGGAAGTTACTAAGTCATCCTCCTCCAGAATAGTATAATATTCTCCATTGTTGGTTATATAAGATCCTTCTATATTCATGAATAAATTAACATTTCCTCTTTTGGTGGCTGTTACAGACCACACTAGCTCCTAAACGTTTTTAACTTTCCAGCATCATCGAGTCAAGTCAAGCTTATTTGGGCAGGACATTGTGACAGGCATTAGTCCTCCACAACCGATAGTCTGTCAGGGGGACATACAATGAAGTGGAAAGATGTGGCTTTTGAGGCAATCAGATGTACTTTCAGGTCAGGAATCACAGATCACACATCAACACGTGTGTTACCTGGAGTGGGTCATTTTGGGATTGAAGTCTTCTCATCTACAAAATGAAGGCTATGACTTCACTTCCAAATTACTGTCAGTGAAATGAAAGCCTATATGGTGAGCTGAGGACCTGTTCCTTCCCTTCTTCATTTTGCACGGATGATAGCAACATCAGGTTGATGAGCAGGTGCCTATCACACCGCTTTTTTTTTTTTTTTTTTTTGCCTCACTTGTGCACCCTTGTGGTAGCAATGGGCATAAAACTGACATGAAAGTAGAGACACAACAACCCACATTTTCATAGTGCAGCCTGGATGCTCAGAGTTCTTCATCCAGTCATATAAAATCTACCTGCTTGAAAAATGAGATTGCTTTGTTGTATAACTATTGGTTTAGGTTTAAAAAAAAATCTACTTAGCTTAACAGTCATAGTACCAAATTCCTTTGGAAGGAATGAAATCTCTGAGAATCACATGTCCGCTGAGGCATGTGGCTGTTTGTCTAAAAAGAACCACCCTCACATCTAATTTGTAAACATCGATTGGGGAGTCACTCCTGAAGCGTTTGCAGGACACTGTCAGCTGACCTCCATTGCTCTCTCCGTTCAGGTTCACTACAAAGCACTTGAATGATGAGTCAACATCCAAGCAGATTCGAGCCATGCTTCAGTAGAGCTCTGCTTAAAGAAGAGGATCTGTGTGCTGACCTCAGAAGATGTATATGTTTACATAATTTAATACAGATTGATGTTAATACTCGTGTATTTACATAACCATTTCCTTCTTGTCACTGAAATATATGGACCTTAATTTGTATCCTGACTGACTCAACCCAGCAGAGCATAAATTGACTTGAAAGCCTTACCTTTGATGTTGGAAATGAAATCCCCTTCTCCAAAGGCAAAATTCGCAGACTTTGATCTTTGCTACTGGAGTCCTTTAATCACACCTGTCACAATCAGAAATACTGAATAGTTTGTGGGAGTGATTTAATTCTAGATGTGTTATCTCTCTGGGAAGTATAGCTTATAGAAACACGAAGTATTTGATTTCCTGTGTCAGCTCAGCTACAAGAAACACGACTGTTATCCTGACAGAGGGAGAGGGCAATCCAAGAAAAGAAAAATGCAGGTGGAGGATTCAGCCCAACTGTTCTGGATTCAACACATCCACTGTTTTTCCTCAGACTGAAGTCACACGTGCAACTTTTCTGTGGGCACGTGTTTTATTAATCAGCACATTCCCTTTCTGTCTGGATTTATATCCCTCTAATGGTCTCTTTTAATTTTGCAAGAGGAAAATCACCTCTATTTTAATCAGTTCATGAAAGAGCAGCAGGAGTGGATAGATGTCTATTGCAGCTGACCTAATGCGGGTGGTTGTCTGGGAGATGGGGGAAGACTGGAGGAGGGGCATCCAGGCGACAGGACAGTTCATCCCCCTGCATCAGCCCTCTGCCTACAGCAATAGGGAAATACCGCCCTGGCTTTGGAATTTTGGGTAAAGATTACAACCTCATAGTGCTGGGTATGCAGTCCTCATGATAGGAGCTCTGTTCTATGTGGACTATGCCCCCGGGGAACACAAGTCTAAGGTACTTTATCAGTTATCAGAAAACTGGGAAATTTAGAGGACCAAAATTCACATTTTCTGGTTATTAGCTAGTATTTGAAAGGTAGTTCCTCCCTGTTGCATTTGGCTAGCTTGCTGCCAAGTGAAAGCAAGCACCCAGCTGAAGTCCTAGCCCTATGAATGGTTCACAGCATGATCTTGGGAAATCTGCTTGAGCTCGCTGCATCTCACTTTTCTCATCTGTAAAATGGACTGTCTCCAAAAGTTCTGGAATGTTGGAAGCCAATAGAATAACTGACTATTCCATTTCTCCCTTCTTGAATAGAGTCCAATAAACAATGGTCCACCTTCTTTTGATCACTATTACCATTCCAAGGCCCTTGGTAGTGCCTCCTGTAGGTCATAGCTGAATTGGAGTGAACTCTTGAATATATTCTATTTTGACCTCCAGTGGAACAATGATGAACTGAAGATGCAGGACAGACGGAAAGAGAATGACTTCTACATGGTAAGCGCTGAAACCTAGGATGCCTGCTCCTTGCCCCGTGTTCTTCCTGTTTCACCATGCTGCCTGTGACTGCATGGAACTGGACTCTTTAACAAAAAACCCTCAGTTTGGCATGTATTGTCAGTTATCTGGTTCCACGAGAAGGAAAGAGTGTCCCAATAATGGTGAGTGATAATTCTAATCCTGGAGATTTGCTCTGGATTCTTGCGAGTTTGACATCATCCCCAGCATCCCAAGGAATGAGCTGTAAAAGGTCATTGCTTTCTGGACTTCAGCAGCCTGCTCACATTTCTACTAGTCCTGTAAGAAGGGACTTTATGTTTTGACAAAGAAATGCAGTCAAGTGGCAATAAAGGTCCTCTGGTCTGTGTCTAAACATTAGTTAGCAGAGAGAGGAAAGGCCCCATTCTTGTGGAGATTTGAAGCTGAGTAAGTACAGCTGCTTGGAAAGACTTTCATCAGAACACACATCTACAAAATAGTCTTCAAGACCCTCTCACACATAGGGACCCTAAGACCCTGGAGGACACCAACAAAATGTGGCAGCACAGGATGAATGAAATCACTATTCCACTCAAAAGGCCTTCCATTTGGCAGTCCTGATTTCTGCCTGGGCAGTGACTGTCAACAGTAGAAAGAAACATGAAATGTTTCTCCTGGTTTTGTCCATGTTCCTCCTTCATCAGGTGAGGGTATTAAAGCTTGTAGAGGGGAGTGGACTTTTCACCCGCCATGGGATTCTTGAGGCTCCGGAGGCTTGAGCCCAAGTGATGCATCTCATAGACCATAGCTGACTAAGTGGGAAAATGTTAGGGATTATCTGTCAAATTATGTATAGATTATATATAATTTGAAAGATAATATATATATTTCAGAGTAAATAGTTAAGCACATTTATAATTTTTAATTATACTTTCTATCAAATAGGACCAAACGTATATGAGGGGTTGCTGGCTTGTTCCAGTTAGCTAGGCCCCCATGTTTCAAAGCCAAGATACACCAGTGGATGGATTCTGGAAAGCCCCAGGGTCTGAATCGTTGCCTCTGATGATCATGAGGACGGGTTAACTGAATGTCTGTGATCACCAGCAGGTGAGGGGCTTTGGGTCCACACCAGGCTGTTGTGGGAGACATGTTCTTTTAATAGACTGTCCGCCGGGCATCAGGAGTCCTTCAACAATCACTTATTTCATGCTGCATGCACACATGTCCAAGCCTTGTGGGTGGTTTAGGGGAAAGTACTAGAAACAATGTCAATGTTAACAACAGTTCATATTTGACGTCTCATAGCTTTCAAATAAACGGTGTTTTCCAAGGCTCCAATATTTATTTTTGGACAAACCAACAAGGTGAATCCTATATTTCTCTGATACATTGCTACTTGCTCATTATAATTCATAGAAACATAGTAATTGATAAAAACATGTGGAAATTGGTGTTCTGAATTATAGTAAACTCATTAAATGGGTTGGGGTATTCATCAACAACCAGAAAGACTTGAATATTATCTTTGAGCTATTCAGTAATATGTAATATTTCATCAATATTTACTCTTGGTCATCACCACAATATCAATGCATTAATGGTAAATTGAGGCTTTTGATATATCATCACATTTTAGTAAAAATAATTTCATACTTACTCAAAAAAAACCTGAAGAGTCTTAAATCTCTGGATCCAAGAATTCAGAAAATTCTTATTCAGTCTTGCATCCCAGATAGCTACAGTTTTTTTTTCTAGATCCTAATAGTAAACACTGGGGTTTTATCTTAAATAAGGGCACAGAGCACTTGAACCCAACCTTCCTGCAACATTGGTATAAGGTGTTCACATTCCTGGAACTGTTTGAAAGTTGTATGCTGTTTGCTAAAGTCGCTGTAATTTTTCTGCCTGCTTTGCCTCTTTTTGTACAGAAGTTTTGAGTGTGAAATGGAAATTAAAGTTTGGTACGTATATTTAAAAATACACCTCTAGTTTATGTTCAAGGTTGAATGGTGATGTGCACAAGATAATTAAGCCATATAGACATTTGCTGAACACCTGCTCTTGGAATCTCATGCCAGCTTCCCTTTGCTTCTCAGCACCTCAGTTTCTTCTGACAGAAGATGTCATATCCAAGATGTGCTGCACTGGTACCCGCCATCTCTTACTCATCTCCACAAAGACTCTTCAGTGTTAAAAAAAATAGGCAGAAAATGTACAGAACCATTACTAGTGTTTAGAGATACATGAGAACCCTTGTCCATGGATACTAAGAAAACCTAGTAAGCACCCTTTCTTTCTTTTGAGAGTGCTGACAACTTATGAATCTGGTAAAAGCCACACAAATAATCTTTTTCACAAGAATGTTATTTCCCTACAAAGTAATCTCTAAAACAATTCCTGTAGATATTCAACATTGGAGTTTTTCCATAGCAAAAATTTAAATACGAATCATTTGAAACCTAATTGGGTATGCTTTTCATGGTTTAGAGTCCTCAAAAGGACTTCTGTGATTCCCTGTTGAAACAACAGACTCATAATCAGTAGACTTGTTTGAGGTGCAAAAGGAACTTAATAGAAATGGGAAACTGTGAATTGGCAGTGGACAAAAGCTGGAAGGAGAGAGAAAGAAAAGGGACTTTGAAGATCATGAGAGTATGTTTGTATCCTTAACTAATAACATTTAGCACAGCAGTTAATATGCTGCACGGGTTTGAGTAGACTCCAATCTGAATTCCAACTTGCCTCTAATACACACCTCAGGAGGCAGCAGGTGAGTAAAGTCGAAGGCTCTGCCACCCATGAAGGGGAGACCAAACCTGAGTCTCTGGCTCCAGCTGTAGCAGGCATCTGGAAAGTGAAACAGCAGAAGGATGTTTCAATCTGTCTGTGTTTTTCAAATAAAAGGAACAGAGGGAGGGAAAGAAGGAGCGAATGGAAGCAGAGAGAAGAGTGAAGGGGGAGAAGAGGGTGAGGGGAGAAAACAGGAGGGAAGCCAAGAAGAGGAGATGGAATACAGCAGTCAACGGATGGAAATGGGGATCTCAGCCGAGCACATTCATGAAACCTGTTGGATATTTACAAACTGTGTCCATACATGACTTTCACTCTTGGTCTTATCAGTTAATTAGCCAGAACTCCTAGATATTTCCTCTTTGAAATGCCTGTACTACACATGTTCAGTCATCACAATGTAAGTGGGTATTAAATAATACTAAATAATAATATTAATCTTTCTCATGAAATAACATTAACCTAGCCGGTACTGGAATCCTGGCAGAGACTAGACTGAAATTCTTCTCGTCTCATTCATTGATGACTCTTCACAAGAAATAAAAGGAGTTCTCTGATTTGTCTGTTTTTGCTCAAAAGTCAGAACTCCAAAGCAGGGGATTCAAGCTATTGAGTCTGCATTTTTACTGACCTGGCTCTTTCTTTGCCCGTTTACGTTACATGAAAGCCTGGCTATCTTTCAACTGCTGAAAATACTGTGCTGACATGTTCAGAGTATACTTTAAAACTATGGTAAGTGGAACATTAAATCAATCCCACAGTTTAATTTTACATGAGACTGAGGCATAAAGTTTTTGTAAATTCACATAATAAAATCTTTTCTCTAAGACATCTTTCCATTTTTGCTACCAAATATCAGACTTTGAGATTCTTCCTCCCCCTCCACCTTCACTCTTTGTTCATTTTAAAATAAATCTTGTTTGCATCAAAGCAGGCCTTATTACAAATTGGGAGCTAGAGTTTATTAACACTCCTCAGCCAGCCAGAACCCAAAATTAACACAACTGAGATTTGAGGTGAGAAAGAACAACAGAGAGAGTATTCCATTTGCTGGTCCATTCCCCACATTTCCACAATACCTGGGTCTGAACCAGGCTGAACAGGGAGCCAGGGCCTCAATACTGGTCTCCCACATTGGTTGCAGAGACCCAATCATTTGACTCATTACTTGCTACCTTCTAAGGTGCACGTTACCAAACAGCCAAGGTCAGGAGTGAAGCCGTGATTGGAATCCACATATTCTGATATGGTCAACCCAACTTCTGTAGTAGCTTCTTAACTGAATGCCACCTCTTGACAGTCAGCTCTGAAAGAATTCTTACACCTTGAAGAAACATGTCTCTGGGAAATGTTAAAAGCACTCGAGGGAAACTGGTGAATTGTTTTCTTCCAAGTAGCTATATATTTGAAAATATACTTCTTCATCTTGCATGAGAAAACAATACAGACGTGGTGGGGAGGGTCCCAAGGGTGGTGGTTTTTTATATGAGTGTGGGAGGGAAAGATGAGGAACACCACACACAGGACAGGCTGAACTATTCATCTCCCAGATAGGCCGTGGGTAGGCGCTTCCATATTGTTGTCACCAGTGCACCCCCTCTTTCCCTATATCTGAAGACGCCAGGTACGTCAAGCCCATGGACATCCTCTCATTTTCTTCATGGGACTTTTCCTAACTACCCCAGTGTATGTTAATCTTCTTTCCTCTGGATCTCCAATGCATTTAATTTATTTTCCACTAAATATTAGCTCTTGTACAGTTCCTACAAGTATGCTTTATTTCCACTGACAGTATAGACATTTCCCTTAGAGTACTGAGCTCCTTGTAGACCAGCATCCCAAAGAAGCTGCCTGAAAAGGTGGAACATTTGGGTGTGCTGAAACAAAATCCTGAGAATTAATTTCTCCAGATCACCAACCATCCACAGTAACAAATTATCTTCTCCCTTGGATAATCAATTTTATTCCTAGAAGAAATACTTACCTGCCTGTCAGGGTATTTTTAACCTCTGTAGAAACAGAGAGCTTTCAGCCAGGAGTCCAGATGAGAAATCAAGCTGTTCTCTTGATCAAAAGTCAGCATCAGCTAGTGCTGCCAAAGGCAGACAGCCAATGTGCTAGGCAGATGATGTCTTGTTCAGTCTGGGAGGAGGTTGCATTCCTATCAGAGAGCTAAACTTGACATGTTCACTAACAAAAGGGCAACCCAAGCACAGTTTCAGACAACTGGATGAATCAATTCAGCACCTTGGATAGCGATCTCGGCAGCTTGCCCTAACAGTGCACAACCATTCTGAAATCTATAATGCTGTTAGTTCAGCTTTGTCTCCAGAACTTTGGTTGCCAAAGATAACTTGGGTAGCTGGAAATGTTTGCTTTCTTTTTTCCTGAGAATTCTCAACATGAAATAGAATTGTTTTAGAAAAGTTATAGAATCAGCTAAGGATTTTAAATTCGTGGTGTTTTGCTTTATCTTAAAAAAATTATTTGAAAGCAGAAAAACAGAACTTGCATCTGCTTGTTTAGCTCTCAGATGCTCACAGCAGTCTGAGTTGGGCCAGGTCAAAGGCAGAAGCTGAGAACTAAGTCTGTGTCTTCACTGTGACAGGAGCAACTTAACAACACAAACACCTGCTGCCTCCCAGAGTTCACTTGAACAGGAAGCTGGGCTTGGGGCGTGAGCCAGAACTTGAACTCGGGCACTCTGCCACTGGAGCTGAGTGTGCCAAGTAGCATCTCAACCACTCAGCAAAACACCTATCCAGTCCGTGGTATTATTAGAAGAAAGATATTGTGTTCTTTTAGCTCCATACCCCCAGTCAACCATTAATTCCTGTCACATATTTCTCAAGAACCCTCCAACTAAATTGACTCCTCATCTTTTTCACTTTATTTACTCTCACCTTCATCATCTGCCTAGAAGATCATGCATGCTTGACTATCTCTCCTCCAATCTTCCACATTCCTGACACACACTTCTCTACCATATTAGAGTCTTTAGCAAGTTTCCTGAAATATAATTATGTCCTCAGAAATGTTAATTAGTGTACCATGGGAGAGAAGAGGAAAATGTCAATTCTCAGGTGCTTGTGAGACAAAGTTAAAGATATGTTTCATTTGTTCTTTTTTACTGCAAGATTTTACATGCAGAGAAAGAGCAAATTCCATAATGGTGGGGTGGAGATCATACAATATACAGTAGTTACCAAATGCATGAAAGGTCACTTTGTTTATCTTTTCTTCACTGGACAGTGAGTTCCTTAAAAGCAGTGTCTGTCTGTCTGTGGTTTATCATACTCTCTGTTCACCATCACCAAACAGAATACATGGCACTTAATGTGCATTTGGGACATAAGTGATTTAATTTCCTTATCTCAGCAAGAGTCAAGGTTAGAGCTATTGTGTCATTTAGAACAGTTGTGGGTGCACAAATGAAGCTCTGCCAATTGGACCAACTCTGACTGGGTATTTACTTTGCAAGAATTCTGATACAAGACCACTACGCGTGGTTTGGAACAATGATGATGCAGGGCACTTCCTTGCTTCTACTCCAAGTCCCAATACTGTCCTGGCGCCTGTTATCCTTAAATAAGAAACATGTTTGTTTGTTCTCACAGTAGGAATTACAGCCCATGCCCACCATACTCCAGGCTCTCTAGACCGACTGGATCCCTGTTATTCTTGTTAGTGCATTTAGTTATCCTTAGTTTGGCCACCCTCAGGAAAATAAATTTCTGCAGGATTTTTCAATAATAAAATGATAGGATTCCAGGAGGAATATTTGTCCAATGCTCAGAAAGCAGTATACAGCAGATTTAGATTATTTAATGAAACTTGGGGGGGGGGCGCAAATGAATACAGAAATCTAATCATAAACGCTCGTCACTGGTATCTTTGGTACTACTGAATTTAAATGTGAGAGTGCAAAGGCAAGTCTGAACCATCTTAAATGTTGTGAAGGCTGTTTGGCTCCATTAAGCCCCTTAGCAAGAATTAGCATACCTTCACAGATCCTGGTACGTCATGGAGTCCCAGTCATGAAATCATGCTGATGACATGTAGGCCCAATTAGCTGATGACATAATATTTAGGGTGGCTGGCTTTAAAGGGTAGAGATAACCCTTAATCAAGGGCAAATACAACATGCTGGTACACAAGGAAATATTTTTTTTTAACCATGGAAAAGTG